GGGTGTAAAAAGGATTTAGATATGTTATGTATATTGCAAAACCCCACAATGAATTGTATCATTGTGTACTGCAAACAAAGAACTAATAGCAATTATATGGAGGTAGGGTTATTGGCAACTTTCTCATCTTCAGACCTTTATGAAATTTCCAAAATCAATATAAAAATCTTTAAAAAATCACTGGTTGTATAATATCTATTTGTAGATATTGATAAAATAATGTCATGTTTATCAAGATTTATTATTCTCTTCTAAATCATCTGTGATTATTCAAAATCATGCTCTAGTATTATACTAGGCAAACACTCGTTATATAATATCTAATAAAGTATTACCTACTAATGATATAAATCTTGCTAATGATGATCTTATCTAAAGAAAAATGAATGTTCAGTATAAAATTTTTTAGACTGTGACCATATTATAACATTTAATATTTATTACACTGTTTGTGAGCTTTGTTATTGTTATTTGCATTTTTAAACAAATGTTTAAAATTTTAAATTTCTTTGTGCATAATTTTGAAAAGTATACCTCACATGTGTTATTTAAAAGAACTTGGAAAAACCTAAGACAATGTGCACTAATATTGTTACAACAAATTGTCATTATCTTGCTGTTTTCAGAAAATTATCAAATATTTTTGTAAAATATACACCCTTATGAAAGTTTGAATTTATGCTTCTAATTTGATACTTAAATGCCATTTTAATGCCTGGATTCCCATTTTTAAAATGCTATACTTATAAGAGTTTTGATTGCCTTCACTCCTAAATATTATGCTTTTAATGCATCCACACTTCATTCAGAAGTAGTTTAAGGTTCGTTTTGAAATAAAATAGCACACAATATTATTTTTTCCCACTCAAAGTCTTCTTACTGGTATTCAATTTCAGACAGTTTTTTTCCTTAGTTTCCTGATATAAAGATCTTCACCAGCAATTTAGTAGAGTATATTTTTATACATGCAGAAGTTGAATACAATCACTCTAACTATATTAAAATGATTTCAAGCCACATTAAAGTCTGTCTTCTGGAGAATTAACTTTTCAGCCTGTAACAATGAGTGCATTAAGACTAAAACCTCACAAAAACCCTACAGTGTTTCTCAAGAACCTGATGATAGCATTTTGTCTATGTGTACCTATAATATTTCCTTTACATTTAACTTCAGCTCATTTTATATCAGCTTGCCTTATTGCACAGCTGACTCCAAAAATGTTCTCCTTTGGAAGATAACAAATAAAGCAATCTTTGATAAAATTGGCAAAGTTCTCAATTTCACAATATCTGATTGATAAAGATTAGCACAAGTGCACATAAAGCCTGCTCAGCAAGCTGTTTCCCATTTTAATCTGAATTGAAAAATTATCCCTGTCTTTCACTGCTGTCTTGTAGGTTAGATTCATAAAGCGCTCTCATTTGCGTGCTAAGATTGATCATTGTTACTCCTTTTCTATCCTTGAATCTCATAGAAATGGAGACTACTGCAGACATTAGGAGATCTGGGCATTTATTCCCCACTTCTTCTCGGTGTTCATAGACTAAGTCTTCAATATTACGGAACCTGAATGTTGGCTTCCTCTGCCACCCCCTGACTACTCTAAATGTCTCATACAGTCCTTTCATAAACAGTGGGCCTAAAAAAGAGGCCGTGTTCACACCAGCAGATCAGAGTAATATGGACAGAAAGAAATGAAGAACACATATGACATAGAGCTTATTTTTGTTTTGTTTAAGATTTTATGTAAAGAGTAAGTTTGTGTATTTAAGACTTATGAGGAGCAGGGGTGCTGATTTCACTTTAAAAGAAGAAACTGATGTGTAAATACCGAATAGTTTCTCTGGTGTGAATAATCTGCAATAATACAGAAGATCCTAATAAGATTACTGACATTGAGAAATGGGAAGAAAGGAGCTAAAGGTGTAGGGAAGGTGGGATGGGTAGGGGAAAGGTAATAAGGGAAAAGAAAAAAATGTGAGATAATGAAAAGATGGAAATAAAGTGGTTGTAGATGGGGAGGGGAGGAGGGGGTGAAGGGAGGGCAATGGTAAGGGGAAAAAATGAGAACCAAGACCTGTCATGTAGAGGTACAAGATCCCAACAATGAATGTAACTGTACTGTATCCCTAAAATGTACCAATAAACTCAATTAAAACTGAAAACAAAGATGAAACAATTTTAGTGCTATGAGGTATAGATTAAGTTGAATAAATTATATTTATTTTGTTTTCTGTTGTTTTGTGCTTCATAGTTATGAAACACAATTTGTTTTCTGGAAAACTATCCAGGCAATTCTGATTGCTACGGGATCATGTTGGTAGAAGGGACAAAACAGTGTCTCAGGCTGTCATTTATAAACTACCATATTTTGTAAAATTATATTTTAAGGTCTATTTGTAACCACATTGGCATCTCTGTGGTCAGACTCTCAGAAATAATTACTAGATGTGTTTTAAATATTTTATCCCTTACATTACCACTTTCATTGGTACCTCCACAAAGCATCCAAATAGCATTGACCAAGGTCATGCCTTTTGTGACTTCCACAAAGTCTTTGCTATTTTCTTTTTTTTTTTTTTGAAAAATTGAAAAAGTATTTTATAATATCTTTCCTAAGAGCTTTTCTTTAAAAGAAAAACATGAAAAAAAGATTGGCACTGTACTGATGGATATTTTGGGGATTAAACCCCTACATCTGCTTATGAGTTTATAGTTGCTCCCAGAAAAGGCATTAATAGCTTATGTGTCTAAACAGCTATCATAATTATTAAGGAGAGGATTAACATGTCAATGGAAATACTCAAGGAATGGCAAACAGATATTCACATACAATTAAAATATCCAAATTTATGGAAAAGCTCAATTAATTAATATTAAAATATAAAGTCAATAATTTTCATCTGGAAAATGGTTGTAGATGTTCAATAATTATGTATTGACTGAAGTGACACTTTTTTGGGCCATCAAACTAGGAAAGGGTTTCAAAAAACAATATAAATATACAGAATTGGCAAGATCTCCAAAGAAAAGATAATCATGCCAGGTAACTCAATTGAAACTACACATAATGACTACCTAGCTTTTACATTTTTATAGTTTACAATTGCTTGGATAAAAATTCTCAACTAACAAAATTGTATTTTAAACAATTAAAATTGACCATAGTTTTAATGTACATGGTAAGCCAGTTTTGAACCTAATGATATAATTGACATTGTGAAATAAGAAGATATAGGATAAAGGTGTAGGGGAAGTGGGAAGGCTAGGGGAAAGGTAATAAGGGAAAAGAAAAAAAAATGAGAAAATTAAGAAATGGAAATAAAGTGTTTGTAAATAGGGAAGGGAGGAGGGGGTTAAAGAAGGTCAGGGATAAGGGGGAAAAATGAGAACCAAGACCTGTCATGTAAATGTACAAGATACCAAGGATGAATGTAACCGTATTATATACCTAAAATGTACCAATAACTCAATGAGGAAAAAAGTAATCTTTAAATGAAAAAATTATTTTAAACTCTATCTCTTAAGAAAAATAATTTAGAACACAAGAAATTTTACATTAATTTGTGTAGAAATAGGTAGTAGCTCTATTCCTATCTCTAGTGAGACTATTTCCCCAGTATTTAAGGTATGATGGACAACAGAGTGAACGTTCAAGTTTTTTAGATGTGTTACAGTAAAAGACACATTGCCATTGATCACCCTCAAAATATTCAACCTTAGTTCAAACACGTTTATCCCATCATTGTTGCCACTTTATGAAGTAGTTCTGAAAGCCCTCTTTCTTGAGTTTCTTTAGTTGTCCTGCTATGTCTACCTCAATATCCAGAATCAATTAAGACTGTTGACCTTTCGTGGTCATTTTGACTTTGAGGAAGAGACGGAAGTTCCGTGGGACCTGTGAGTAAGGTGCATGAGGATACACTACCATATTTTTACAAACCTGCCTTTATTAGATTGTATTCTGCAGTAGCGTTTATAATATTTTTAATCGCACATCATGAAAAAATTTTTTTCCACAAAGGAGACTTCCAGGACTCTTCCTGAAAGTAACAAGAAAGGTGGGACAAATGTGTTTGAAGCCAGGAAGAGTATTTTGCCGAGGGTTAATGACATTGTGTCTTTTATTGAAATATTTTTCTTTATTTAAGCATTCACCAAATCTTTGTCACTGCTCGTATACACAAACGAATCACAGAAGAGCAAAGCAGCTATTCTGAATAAGGTCAACGAACAGAAGATAAGATGTCTCCTTTCCCAACAGGCTTAATTGCAAGGAACAGTAGAAAACTTTGAAGGGGAAAGAAAAGTACTAATCCACTGTTGTCATTTTATTGAAATTTCTTAATGTTTGAGTTTCTCCCTCAAAATTAATTATTTTCTTCCTCTATAGTTTATCTGTGTTGCCCAGAAACCATTGACTTCCTGGAATTTTTATTAAAAATTCTACATTCTTGCCATGTTTTTCAGATACTGTGGCCTCTGCCAATAAATCCTAATAAATTTTCACTTCTTTTCTCTCAATAACATCCTAGAGAATATGATTCAGACTCAAATTAATCACCGATCATGTTAATGGCTCCTAGGAGCTTACTTCCGATACCCCTTATTATATTAAATCAAACTTGATAGTGTGCTAGATCACTGCTCAGCTGGGTTTTCATAAAAGCATTGGTATTTAATATGATTTATGCCTAGTTTTCTGTTAATATCTTTGCTTATCATGTGCTTTATTTTTAAAACAGACATTCTTAGAAAATGACACTCCTTTAAAATCTATCATACTTTTAAAATATTTTGTAGGAAACATTTTACAGTAAAATCTGTCACTTACTTTATATTATATCACATAATAGCAAATAGGAACAATTTAATGTACAAAGTACGAATACTGTGCCTTTAGTTTTGAAAATTGTGTACATATATGTGTTTTGCTTATTTAAAAATAAGTTACATGACAAGATTATTAGGAAATTTAATGTGATGTATTTTTTTTAAGCTTTGCAGCAAAGGGGCAGCTCTAGGAAAGCCCTTTGATGCACCTGCTGACCATGTAGCCAGCGTGGCAAGTTTCATTGAGACAAAACTCGTCAACTGCTACCTACGGATGAGGAAACCTGACCTTGCCCTGAATCACGCACACAGGTAAAATGAAATACTACTAATCAAGAAAATAATAGTACTAATGAGTGCTACCGAGGCACTTCGAGGCTACTCTCTGAACTTGTCTGATTGCCTTCCTTTACAGTTTAATTTAAAGATTCAGCAAAATAATTATAGTTGCTTAATTTATGTAAAACTAAACAAACTATCCCGGAGACAAACAGGGATCTTAAAACCTAAGGGAAGAAATAGGGACATAATCAACAAATTATGAAGAATATTTATAAAGGAAAAAAATAGAAAGGCAGGTAACTGTAGCAGCAAATTGCTCCAGGAAGAAATAAAGGAGAGAAGAAGGTAAGTAAGGGAGTTGGTATGTAAGGCTAAGAAGAGTTTCAAAATTGCAGAATAGGTAGGGAATAGGAGAAGGGAATTTGAACTGTGCACTTGAGGCAAGACTTGAAAGGTGTGGTTTATCTGATGATAGCATAGCTAATTTAAAGGATGCAAGCATTCTTTGGACAGACTTTCAAAGATATAAAATATCTTTATCTATATTCTTAAAGATGTCTTTTTTATATTTATAACCTTCTTAAGGATTCTGTATCATTATGTTACCATGTGGGAGAGTCCTATAGCTGCCTGAACTCTCTTTTCTTCTGTACTGATGTACCTGTTTTGTGGTCTTTTTTCTAAAGGTCTTGTTCTCATCACTAACAACCAGTTTAATCTACAGCAAAGATAAAGTAATTATGCTATGCTTTTCAAACGATGCTTTCCTAGAAACTGATATTTTTATTTTTCTTAGCTTGACTTAAAACAATTTTCCTAGAACTTTTGTGTTGTTCGTTTTTATCTCACATCCTTGTGTTTCTTTTGCATGTAATTAGCAAAACTAATTTCAGTATAAAACCATTATACCTGCTTTAGTAACAGACTCTAAAAAACATACTAAACAGTTATGGTAAGACCCTTTAGTGAAAGATCTGCCAACACAGTAAAAAACCATTTATACACTCAAATCGACTAGGATGTTAAAATTCTACCCAAGGTTTTCACAGCCCTAACAGTGGCGTTGAAGCATCAAGAACCTACAGGCAGCAATACCTCTTTAAAATTCATAGAATAATTTAATTTGAAAGAAATTCTCCTGCTTAAGTAAACTACAGAATCTTAAAGCATATTTCCTTTAAAATCAAAAGAAAGTTCTGCCTTCTATCCATGCAGGAACATTTTATACAACAATAGTTTCCCATCCACTGTCAGGATATACAGTCTGTCAAAGAATTCTGTTGCATTTCCATTAGAAAAAAGCAGTGTCAGAAAGGTAATACACACTAAACTATGTCAAAATATTATAATGTCTGGGCTACTTGGGTGACTTGGGAGAACAGTGGGAATCAATATTTAGACTAGCCCAGAAAATCCATAGAAATGCATTAACAGTAATAAATTGAGATGTACTGAAAGCAATTATGTCACCCTTTCCATGACTTTCATCACACATCAGAGGGCCACCAATATGGCCTACACTGTAAGAAAAATGTCTCCTGGATATCAGAATGGTTTGATGAATTTTTAGTCATATTTAATGATAATGTTTCAATTTGGCCTTTTTATTCTATAATGTGTAGAATTTATAATATAAATAATGTATATAATGTATACATACATATTATTTGTAAGTACAAAACAAATGAATTTGAAAGGGTATGGTCTTCTCAAAATTCAGTTTATTAATAATAAATAATGGGAAGAAAAGATCAGAAATTCCACTACAATTTAAACATAAGAAGTATAAAATACAACACTTCATGAAGATGCAAGAATCAGCTTTGATATGTTCGATGCTTAGAATCAGAAAAGAATTAAATGCTAAAATTGAGTGTACATCAAAGATTTTTTAAGACCTTCCTGTGTGTCAGCACTATATAGAAAGAGAAGAGGAACCACTGAGAAAAGAACATCACATCAGGTGGTACCGGTCTGGCCCATGTCAGCTTGCAGGACCATCTCTTTCCTCAAGAGGAAAGTTGGGTTGAAGAAGTCCACAGGTGTCACTGGGGAAACAAAATGCTCCTTGTCCATGCCATGCTTACCCACTAGCCCCAGGCTGAAGTACAGCGGGACTCGCAGCAACAGCCTGAGCTGCAGAAGCTGGGGTGTGGCCACAATCTTTGAGCTCATTCTTCACTGAGGGTCCAGAACACTCCTTGGTAGCTTGGTGATAGAACACTAGCTCAGCATATGTGAAGCCCTAGGACAGATCTCCAGCACTAAAGAAAAAATAAATAAGCTAAGCAAACAAATATTGAGTGTTATTTCAAGACCTTGAAAATAACAGCACAAAAAAATAATAAGTAGGAATGTGATCTTCTCTACAATTCTGTTAGGGTTAATTTTTACATACGTTTTTCTACTGTAATTTCTGCTTCTGTTTCGAAGTTGAACATTAAGTAAGAAATGCAAATCAATAGAGGTTAAACAGTCAATTTATACAATTAATAATGCACCAAGAGATATCAATCATTTTGCTGAGCTTGTCATAGTGCAAAACTACAGAAGTTGGTACATATATTTTCAATATTAAACCATTTCGAAAAATCCCTAATTAAAACAAAACAAAGTTTGAAATAAGTGTACTCCATAAAATTAATCAATCAAGTTATTAAGTCTATAAATACTTTATAACCATTAGTTATGCACTGAATACAGAATTGTGCTTTTGTATTATTATCACATTGTGATAGTTGATACTAATCATGGATCAAAATTAAAATATTCCTTTTTTGCATTTATTTGCATTTTCTGAAGCATCCGTTCTTTAATTTTATGTAAATGTGAGGTCTACTGAATATCTTTAGGAGACTTGTTAACACAATAATTAACTTAAAAACCATCATGTAGTTTTGCTGCTGATAAGAACAAAGGCATATTGTTTTGTCATGTAGAAGACTACAAGAACCATAACGTTTTGGTTTTAAGATCAACGAAGTTACAATGTGTAATTAATCAGCTATGCATTCTCAATTAAGCCTTTATAAAAATTGTTTAAAATGATTTTTCTCATTTCCTTATAATGAATCCAATATTACAAATATTGGATATTGGTTTTTAACTTCATCCAAAAGTGCTCCCTAGACTCACTGGTCAAACACATCAACTCTGGGCTCATTTTGTCAAACTAGTGCCACTGTTTACTCTTAAGACTGATTCCTAATTATAGCTATCTTATAAAGAATAGAAATTCTGATATAACTCCTTTTCTAGCATGTGATTATATTTGGATGCATATAACTGTAAAGGTTCTAATGTTGCACCTTACTTTCTGCATACTCCCCACTTCGAGATTTTGTACAGTGCAGAATTTTGTTGACACCAGAGGCAGACAAGCAGAAGTCTAAAGCTCCTAAAATGTGTGTATTTACCATGGCTTTAAAATAAGGGCACTTCCTATATAATTTATTCATTTAGCAAACAATTTTGAATTCCCCATTAACAGCCTGTTCCTATGCTAGGCAATGAGGAGACAGGAAATACTTCCGATTATATACAGCAGAAGTAGAAAAAATGTAAAAATATATAGATATTAGCAAATATCTGAGATAAATAGTATGTGATAAATGCTGTGAAGGAAATACTTGCATTTTCATGGTGTAGAGGCAGCATAGTACGTTGAGTAAGAGCAAAATCTGGAATCTGACTACCTAGACTCAAATTCTGACTCTCACTCACTAGTCGCTCTAAATTTAATTTTCTGTTAAGACTAGATTGTAATAGCTATGGTGCTTCACAAATGCTATACCTCAAGATTTTGTGAAAATTAAACATAAATCCATGAAAACTTTCTTCCAGCCATGACAAAGTTACTGGCACTTGAACTCCCTTTCAGCTGTAAACAACTGTAAGACTGGGGGATGAAATATATGAAGCAACTATTTTTAGGTAGTGTTCGGAGCAGGATGGATTTTTTGAAAAGACACATGGAAACCCCATGGTTTTCACAGCTTTTGTTGACTTTATTTTCTTGCCCTAACTCAGGGTCAAAAAGGCCAGGTTGAACTGCAGTCTTGAGGAACTGAGAAAGCAGAAATGTGAATAGCAGGCTGCCAAAACAACTATCATTTACAAGGAATGTGGCCACAAAAGAGGTACCTGAATGAAGAGGTTGAGGGGTGGAATCTGCGTATAGGATCTGCATAAGGATTTACTGCAGGTTCTTAACCATGGGCTGATATAAGCATATGAGTAGACTCTATGTAACAGAGACTGTCTGCAACAAAAATAACTGCCAAATGGAAATATGAGATGACCTACAGTTCTGGTAAGCGTTGGGAATATTGGAATGAGGAGACCTTGACAAGCAACCTACGCATTCAGCTGAGCCAGGGAGGTGAAAGTACGATGACCTAAGGAAAGGATCACACCTTCGGATTAACCTCTGAACCAAAACGGATCCACCCTCTCAAAGAGTAAAAAGAGCGTTATAAGAATGAGTATCTTCAGCATAGTATGCTAACTTTTTTTAGGGAAAATTCTATAAACCAGATTACCTACAAAGCTTTAATGAAAATATTAAAGTGTTGTACATGCAAAGAAGTGGGGAAATGGGACTGATAACAAACTAAGGTCATAGAAACATGCTACAAGATTACCTGGAGGTTGAAATTGGTAGACAAGGCTTCACAAACCTATCAAAATATGTTCAAGGATATTAAAGTAAAAATTGTAATAATTAAGAGATGAGAGCCTCAATAGAAAAATAAAAACTATTCGCACAAACCTTGTGGGATTTAACATAGATTAATAAAAATCTGAAATTAAAAAGTTAACAGTAGACAGCAGACAGCTAAAAAAGTCACCAGACTTGAAGATAAATCAATAGAAACCACCCCATATGAAGAAAAGAGAAAAAAAACATACTTTAAAAATTAATCAAGGTATTGGTAACCTGTCCTCTGGTATAGTAATAAGCAATATAATATATAGGCAATTAAAGCCTCAAAGGAAGAGGAAAAAAATGAAACATAAAAAGTAATTTA